CTTAAAAATTGTGTAATATAAATAGAAAATAAGATTTTTAAAAGTACTGCAGCATAAGGAATAAAATATATAATAAATGTTCGTAATACACAAAATTTAAAAATCAAAGTTCTTATTTCTATATTCTCGCATCATTTACCTTTTTGATTTATCTTTTTTGAACAATAATGTGTAGTAAGTCTATTAGGCGGCTTTCTCAACTTTTCTCTCTAATAGTAATGCTAACTTAGTTTGTTTAACTTTATCGATTATAAGTCATTTTGTACTCACCTGTTTGACATTTCGGGCGCCTGAAAATACCCATAAAATATTGTTGGCATTTTAGTTCGTGTTTATCACTATTCTATTTTATCTTGAAAAAGTAGTTGCGTAAGACAAATACGTGTTTATTAAATGAAATTAATAAGATACATAAAACAAAATACAAAGATACTGTTTTCATAAAAAACAATAATTTTATTGAACAGATTATAAAAACAAACATCTATAACTAAAACCGAAATAAAAACTATAAATGATGCATGGAGCATGGTATTGCTTCCTAAATTTAAATTATTGGGGAATTGAAGAGTAAAGCACTGTTGATAAATTATGTAAAAATATCTAAAATAAAGAGACTTGTAAAAGCTTTAATCGTTCGCCGTTGACGAAATACTTATCTAATGCACCGAAAATTCGATCCTTTCGTTGTTCTCGCAATATAAAGATACATTTAAAAATAATTTTGGTCCGCTAATATCATTCTTGGTACATTTTTCGACAAGCATGACAGTTTAACAAAAATAGAACATGGAAGAGAAAACGTCTTTATTTTTATGTCGATTTTTCGAAAACGCTGACTTGAAATTATATAGAAAATCCGGTTTCTTATCCGATGCTGCTATCCATGTCATGTTAAAGGATCCCTCTGGATAAGATTAGAAATCTGCTACCTCTACAAGTGGCCACTTTCACTATATCGTTAGAAAGCCCTGACTTTGACGCACATGAATCTGATGTTTGATTCCGAAAAGGTCTCAGTGCGTATCAGAGGTGGGATCGGTTCGTGTTTTTCTGCAACCGAACCGAAACTTTCTGAAACCGAACCGAACCGTACTTTTTTTCAGAAGTTCAGACCGAACTGAATCGAAACTTTCTGAAACCGAACCGGACCGAACCGATCAATTCTTTTTTATATGTAATTAAAGTTAGAATAAAACGTAAAACTCAAACGAATACACTTCTTTTCTAGTTTTGATACCCTTTTGCGCGGAGCACAGGAAAGAAAATCGAAGACGGTTATAGAGTCCATGAAAACAGACTTTTCAGTTCACGGACTCTAAAAAAGTAGTTCAGTTCAGTTCACAATACAAAACAACATGTTTTTTACTGATTATTCCTCGGTTCGAGTGAATCCAAAACTTTTATTCGAATCCAGACCAGTCGATGGTCTTGAAAGTTTGAGTTCAGTCCAGTCCGAGTGGATACGCTCAAAAATGTTTTAGCGCAGTCCAGTCAATATGGAGATCTGATAGAATCGCAACAACTTATTTAAATAAAAAGAGAATTGTGTAAAAGTCTTCATCTGAGCAAAGTTTCGGCATTCTGCTCATATGGTTGTATATGTACGATGCTTATTCTTGCACATGCTTTTGGCTATGGTCTATCCGTGAGCCACGCAAAAAAATGTCCTGTACAGGTGCAAGTAAAGCTTAAACCTCGAGGTTTCCGCTACCAAACAATAAAACAATATTCATTTTGAAAAGCATATAACCAGCAGAGATGGGATCGGTTCGTGTTTTTCGGCAACCGAACCGAATCGAACCGAAACTTCCTCAAATCGAACAGAACCGATTCCCGAAAAACTCAAACCGAACCGAAATCGATTCGGTTTGGCTTGAAACCGAGCCGGTCCCACCTATGGTGCGTATAGACAAAAACGGTCTTTTTTGATTGTAGTACGTTATTACAGTTCGATTTAGTAAAACTACTATATTTCAAAAACTTGAAGATTTTTGAAAGTGGTTTTCGCCATTACATTGACCACATGTTTTTCTATAAAAGGGCAGTAATTAATTATTGAGTTTTGTCTTTTTTCTTTCAAAAAACTTTGAAATCCGCCCTAAAGTCATAGGTATGAGAAATGACACCATTTAATAACATTGTTACAAGACACGAAAACCTTTTTCGACATAAACCAAAATTTGGAATGATGAGAGATTTTAAGCAAAAACTAATCAGTTCCGAGACGTACTTTTCCATTATTACTTTTAAAATACGGTTTTTAGGTATGAGCCATATGGCAAAAATACCTTTTTTCTCATTTATTTTTACATTTATGCAAACGTAAAATCAGGTTCGTAATTTCCAGATCAAATTCTATCAGAAAAATGTGTTTGATGATTATAGACGATCTATGGTTCTGACTCTAAAAGTATCTGATCTAAAAAGAGTGAAATCCTGCTCGTCATCGACGAATGGTATCTCAAATTGTAGAGCTCATCTTCCTCTATAAAAATGGTCTTCATCACTTTGCCATAAATAAACAAACATTTTTTCAATACATCTACTCTAACCATGCATCTTATCCAAGAACTACTTCACGGTGGTAGCCTCATAGCTTCTTAACCACAGTATGAGGTGCTGTATACGAAATAAGAATCAGAAATGAAAAATTTTAATTCAGTCAAGAGTAAGATTTCTGGAAAGCCATTGTTCTAGAAAACCAATACTTCTGCACAAAATGTTTCTGATTGTTTGATACTTTCAGCACATAGAGCTGATCGAAAAGAGTCTGTAGTCAATGTTTTTACGCTTATGCTCTTTAATCTTCACGAAGCTATAGAAACTTCTTTTACGTAAAATTCGGCTATAATCATAAGTTCTGAACCAAACTTCATAAAACTTCGACCACACGCTTATTTTGATTAGCTCTGTAGCTGAAACAATCAAATAATCAAACAAATTTTGTGCAGAGACATTTATTTTTTAATTATTCAGATATCAATTAGAATCGAAACTGAAAAACTTTCTAACAAAATTGTTTCCACAAACAAAATTCAACGAAATGATTGAAAACTAATAAGAGCTAGCTAATCAATATTCATGTAGAATCAAAAATATTTTTCTCGCCCATCAAAGTTCTGAAAGTTTCTGATGGCTAGTTGTTAGAGTATTCTGCTCTAAAACACTCATTTTTCCTTTTCGTTCTCTTTCACCGCTCTTTGACATTTTTATTGCTTTCGTCCGTCCTTGATATATCTCTATAAAAAAACATTTATATGGCAGGGCCTGCGAATAAGCCTGTCATTCAATTCCAGTAAACAAAATTCTCATGAGCTGATCTGCGCAGGTCTTTGTGTACATTGACTGTGCACTTCTTCTAGATTTCATCATCTTTTTTTCATATCTATATAAAGGAGTGTTTTTCACAGAGTCAGTCAGACAGCCTCGTATCGTTCGTATGGTCGTCGTCTTTCATTTTTTTGTCACCGTTTAAACGGTGCAAACGCGTTTGCTTTTCATCTTTTAAAAAATATACATTTTTAAATCATCAGCGATCTCCTGATCCAAGAATAATATTATAGTCTTCAGATTCGGTCAGAAAGTCTAATTTTCCACTACATATTCTATAATCAATATTTTTGAATTTTTTTAGTTAAGTAGAACATAGCATGATTCAAACAGCAACAACAAACAGAGCATCACCGTGTATTCTTTGCCAAAATGTAACGCCTAGTTATGGTCCATTATGTCGTGGTTGTAGCTCTCTTAGTTCTGATGTGCAATTTTTGAGAGCTTTAGGAACATTACAAGAAATTGTGGAGGGCAGATTCTACGATGATCAAACTGATATTGATATAGATGGTCAATGCAAATCGCTCGAGTAAATCACTTCTCTACCTATAATAAATTTTTGTGTAATTTTAACCATTAAACTACTTTAGACAATTAATGCATTTGTATGAGCCTTTGAATTATTCACCCATCGAAGTCATTACAGGAACATCGGCCGAGAATATTGACGTAGTGGCAGATGATTACAAAATAAAATATAACAAATGCTGACATAGTAAGTCACCTAGTCTCCCGAAACTGTTCTTGTCAAAAAGCCGACTTTTATCATTCATTGAGGTAAAAAAAGATATTCAGTTTAATTTTCAATTTAAAAAGTAAAGTAGTGATAAATTTTAAGAATAGGAAACGTTAAACTGCCAAGAAAAAGATCCATATCTAAAACTGACTCGAAAAACTATTCAGCAAAAAACTCTTTTGAGTACGATCTAACTTAGAGCTTTAATGAAGTTTGCGAACAACTGTGAGAATAAATTCAAAACAAGTTGAAATCTCTTTTTCTTTTGAAATGCAAAGCTCAAGCATATCGTTACTCTTTCGAGATCATGAAATGGATTTCATACAAACCTGAGAGTTTAGACAACTGTCGTTAGGTCATATGAAGTTTTTAAGTTAATTAAAAGATTTTTTTTCCGTTACCAGATACTTCTTAGGTTGGAAAATTCTAAATAAACTCTTAATTTTGAGTTTTTCGCAAGTGAATATTTTTGTTATGTACATAGAAAAATTTTCACGGTTTTCCTCGCTTTTATAAAATTTTCAAAACTTTTTGCGTTATCGTTGAAAGTATCTGCTAAGCTCTCGATCTAATTTTTCTCCAATTCATAAATGATTCTCTCTCTTAAAGCATTGCAAGTACTTCATCTGTGATGAAAAGCACAGAAGTTCAAATAAAAAACTATTTGTTGGTTTAGAGGAAATATTTCGAAAGAGAAGAAAAGCATTGAAAGAATTGAAACTTACAAAAAAGCAAAAAAAGGGAGCAGTTTATAATTTTATCTTTATTTGTTTGCATTTCTCTGGTTCAATAAAAGAAGTAAAATGCTGTATTCCCGAAAAAGTTTTATTCGCATCCTTGGCTGTCTACCATAACGCATTATCACAATTGCTCTGTATACACGTGTTTTTTTGTAATTTGCTTTTTTCCTATATTTATTCAGGAAAAAATGGTACCACTAATTACGAATCCTAATGGGAATTGCCTTTACAATACTGTTAAAGTATTGATATCAAATTTTGAGGCAAGTCCTATTGAACTTCGAGTTCGAGCAAATGCTGAATTGGCAATGAAATTGAAACATTACCAGCAAACATACCCCCATTGTACAGATCTCATTAATTCATATCGTCAATATCAAAGAACAGAAATGATCTACGATAAAAGTGATTGTACATTATGCGAGATTTTAGCACTATGCAATATTCTTCAATGTTCGATCCGATATGTTTATCCAAAGATTAAAGAAGATGCTGATGAAGCTGGAATGTCAGATCTTCTTAATAAAACATTTCATCCATTTTCAACAACTAATTCAACAAAGTCAACATCAACAATCACTCTAATGTGGACACATACAGCTGAAGAGTATACTGTACGTGCAGTTAATTATGGTATGTGGGTACCAAATCATTCTGTTCCACTAGTTTATCATTATGACACAAAATCATCGTTTACAATTGAACGGCATCCACCACTGGTAAGATGCTTTAAAATATTTAATTAATCCTTACATTATATAAAATTTTGTGATGTATTTTAGACTAAAAGGAATAAGTTATTAACACACTTACAAGCAAGTGAATCAAAAGTAAAAGTTTGTGAAGTAAGAATAATGCATTAAACTCTGTTTAATTAGGCATAAAATCTGTTTTCGTTTATTTAGACCAGAGATCATACCCCAAACGAAAAAAATAGAAAGTCTTCTAATCCTGTTCAGTCAGATGGCATACGGGTACTTTTCAAGTTCAATTTTTTTGAAATGAATGAGATCAATCGAAAAATTTTATTTAAAAACGCTTCCGAAACAGAAATCTGGCTTTCAGTCAGCCTTGATCATCATTCATTTCAGAATTTTGTGTGATATTGAGATGATTTTAAATGATATTTTTTCTTCAGCCTTTGTTGTAAACAAGTAAATATAACCCAACAGAAAAAATCATATATCATGCGTACAGGCCGTATGCAGCGCACATATCGTGTATAGGACATATACATAACCACTGCTCTCCAAAAAAAAGGTACTCTACCGAACCTAAAAAGGGTTTAAACTTTTGTCGCCATCTATATACCTTTTTAAGGTTTCATACAAAAACTTAAAACCTTAAAAGGTTTCGCACAGCACCCTAAATCCGTCGCTGGGAAAAATTTGTGTAAAAACACAAAAAAAGTGTTGATTGACCAATAGCTAAAGACCAAGGGAATAGCTTCACAAAGAGCACACAAAAATCGATTTTTCATATTTTCAGGGGTGCTCATTCCCCACCTGAATATTTGAGGCATTTTGTACTATCTCGAAGGTTCAATCACTCAGTGTACCATCTACAAAATTAATTTCTACAGTAGACAAGCGTACCACCTCACGTTTGTTTGACGTCGAGTCGGATGATATATATTTCAAATTTTTTCATTGATTTTCATTTTTTGACGAAAATCTCAATAATTCTTCGACGCGAAAATTCAAAAAACAATTAAAGTGATCGAACAAGATAAAAGGTACATCATTCGACTCGATTTTCGATGCTGATTCCGAATATAATGTTTTCATTCGTAAAAGTTGAGTTCTAACGAATAAAATTGCGAATTAGTGTCAGAATTTCGATGTTTCGCAGTAAAGTGGACTTTTCTCAGCAAGGAACAGGAATTTTAAAGAAAGCTCTTTATTGTTTTGAAGCTCAGCATCTGGCGGATCTAGCCACGTAAAACTGTTGACTCTAGCACCTCCAGAAAAACCTGTGTTAGGTTTGCAAATTTTGCCTGACGCTTTTGGGTCAATCCGATTTCTGCTCC